AAATAGCAACTAATTTTCGTAGCATTATAATTACTGTGTAGGGTATGTACTTAAAGTCTATTTTGCGTCATTTGCATTTTTGGGAAAATATCAAATTTTGCATGGCTTATAAATGATGCATTACTAAAATTTAGATAAAGAGTTGACCGTTCCTGTTATACTTAGTTCAAAAATACATATCTAGATAATGCGAAAGGAATATATTGAAAATTTCATTCAAATTACTTTATTCTGAGCGAAGACTGTTTATTATCTTGGCAATGGTACTTGACAATCCAGGCTAAGTCTTGATTATCCAGTCTGCCATTAAATTTTAAAATGTCACAGCTGTTATAATCCATTTAAATCTCAGCCATCTAATGTTCTATCACGTTGATTATAGGCTTTTTCATGTGAATAACTATCCAAACAAACATAGTTTAAACATACATTCCCACAAAAGTATGTATCGGGTGGTTATTTCAATTAAAAGTATGTCAAATTTGGTATGGAAAGTATAGACGCCCAATCTTACTTGAAAAATACCGGATTACCTGAAAAAAAAAGCCCCGAGGCAAGCACTGGGCAAAAATGTAAGGGTATCACTAACTGGCAACATGACGTATTGTCTGCCAGATTGACTTAGGGATTGGTTGTTATTTCTTGAGGGGTTTAAACGTTTAACGGCAGTAAAACAAGTTGGCAGAATATAATTCAAGAATTTACTTGGATCAAAAGATTTTGGCGAAAATCAATGGTGGTGATTAGCTTGTGTTGACTAATTATTGAAAAGAATTTTTGGAATGATCTTTTTAGAAATTTAGCTTTGACAATATTGTAGTTTGTAAGGTAACAATCCCTCAAATGATGTTCAAAGACTTTAAAATGTCACTTCAATGATCTAATATGATAACATTAAATACACATGTTAAATAATAAAAAAAATTATTAATTAGTAAATTTTATTTTTAAGATAAGGTAGGTGTGCTATTTTAATCAATTAATCTCTCTTTATGTAATGTGTGAACATAATGCTCCAAGCCACCTTTAGTAGGAAAAAGAAATTTATGTAGGGGTGTAGGCCTATTTCTGTGTCCATCTTGGGTTACTACACATTCTCTATGTGGATATACATGTACTGACATCATCCACTTGCTTTATCAATAAGAACTTTATTAAGGACTATCCCTAGACCCTATCTCTTGTCATCATTAATAAGGTACATTTGAAAGTTATCTAAATTTCTTTGATGAATACTGACAAGAATTTCCTCTGCCTACAGATCATTTACAATCCACTGATACACACAATAGACAATAAATATAAGCTTTCAAGATATAAATCTTCTTGCATCACCGACTTATGTCGTCATTGATAATATAAAATCAACGATGCGTATCAGCTTGGCCAACAACAAACTAAGTCTATAGTTATGAACTGAATGATCTCGCCCTTCCACAATCAATAGAATTAATCAACTCTAAAGTCACACATCCTAACCCATTCCTTAATCACTAATATAAACAAAGATTAGATCCCACACTATTGTGACAAATTTACTACCCACCGTCGAATTCTTTTGGTCTTTCTCAATATGTCAACAAAATACTTGCGGACACACCATGTCAGCCTACATAAAGTGTGTTGTTGGATTCACTAGGAAATCTTTTTATTCAAATAACGAAGGCATTATGTTTGTTCCGAAAAAGCAATCAATAAAGAAATTTAAATTCAAGAATAAATTTGTACAGAAAATAATTCAATACTGTACCGTGTGATTTTATGGATTCTAAATAAAGTTGGAGTAAAATTGATTGATAAGGATTATGACAAGTCACCCAAATAAACTGCAACAGGCATAATGTTTCAAGAGGGGAGTTTGGTTAGCAAATGGTCGATTGCACTAGATTTAGGATTTTTTAAGTTTTTTTTTCTTTCGTCAAGTTATATATGGTTTCTATCACAAGTTTGTGAAACAAGGAGTTGAGTGGACTACCTAACCTGGTTGGTTTTCTCTGGGTCCTACAGTTATTTAAATAAAAATCTACCCTAATAGTCACCAAATGACCTACAGTGTTGTTTCTGTGTTGAGAGGATGTTAACTCCCTCCCCCCACGTCCCTCTGTTTGTTTAAGTGAGCAACCGGTACATGTTTATCTCAGTCTAGGACAAAGGAGCAATTAGTATTACTAAAGTTTATTGAGGTTCAAACTGTCTTTAATAAAAAAATTCTATATATAATCTGTTCTAACCAAACTGTCTTTAAATAATAAAAGTTCTAATTTGTTCTAACCAACCTGAGAGATTCAACAACTTACTTTTGTGCACCAACCAAGAAAATGCACATGGGATATTCAATTTGGTTTGATGTGAATGACTAAACAATTAAATGATTTTGAAATTTCGTTAGTGGAATAATCCGATCAAGCATGTAAGCTTATAATAGTGGATGTTATGTTGTTAATTAAGCGTGTGATTTATGTTTGTGTAATTTACTACTTAAGCTATATAAATCTACGTGTAATACACATTAACTATCAATTAATCAACGGGTAATTAAGTAATCACCATCATTTGTACCAACATGAGGTCCACACCATATTCTGCTTTTTACAAAATTTCCATAGGAATCAATCTATATTGGCTTAAAATCCATTGTGTTTCATCACTTATTATACAAGTACCAACATCCATTATTTTTATGATATTTTTGTATATATTCTTTAATTTGTATAATATATTCTTTTTATATCTTTGCATCAAATAGAATCCACATATGTAGACTGATACGGTACAATTGTGTTTTCACCACTTAAATAAATTGGGATATGGTATTTTTGTGTTATACATTTGTATACATTATTTAATTTGGCTAATATTTTCCACTAGCAAAGAAATGACATGTACTACTACATGATGTTGAACACTACATACAGCATGTAGCTTTTAGCTTTAGACTCGGCCACTAGAGGAATGGAAGCTAAATGTTATAAAAGTGAGCCTATCCGAATAATCTAAGTAGTATCCACTTAACAATCTAACTGTTCTTCATTGTATTAGCTTACTCTAGTTGAAATTACAATAAAATTCTTAAAAAGAACAATCATAATGAAGTCAAGTGTCAAAATGAAACATTCTAAGTTCCGGTAAATGACAAAAGAAAACAAATTAAACTTAAGTGGGTCTTCCTCTCATTAATAAAACTTGTTTACTGTTTTATCAAAACGATCAAGAAAATATAATACAGGATTCTTGCTAATTAGATAAGCTTCACAGACACTGTCTTGGGTATGTTGAATAACTTGCCTATTATTACAAGCAATTTCTTTATTAATCTCCTCCCAAAAGACCCATGTACAAGTATGTACTACAAAGTACAATATATACCGGTAATCTACACATTTACCATAAATGTACATTACATAAAAGGCTAAAAAAAATGAAATGTGGTAAAGGAGCTTATCCTCTAACTCAATATTTTCTGTAACACTCGAAGTTAAACACAAATTAAAATTCAATACATGTATGTTGATCTTGTTATCTTGCCGTGAAAATATGAGATCCTAACATCCAATATTTAAGACATACAGTAATGAAATTTTATAATCAGTGGAGTGGGTAGTTGGGTATTTCTATGGTTTTGGGAGACATTTGTAATGAACAAAGAAAAATATATCCTACGAAAGAAAGAAATGAAATGGAGTTTAACGTCCTACTGTTCTGCTCCTATACTGGGCTAATGAAGACGGGCAGCGGCACTATCGCCTACTCTTATATCGAATTCCAACTGACAAGGGATCTTTTAATTGCATTCTAATGTATACACGGGACCTCGATTTTTTGTATCATCCGAAGGACTAGACAGCTGTCCTTGTCAGGCCCTCCGTTCTGCACCACTGACAAGGGGAAACCACGTCGAAAAATCGGAAAGAGAGAGAGAAATGGGGTTTAATGTTCACTCGACACAAACACAGTCATTTTGGGACTCATAATATATGGTTTAATTCTATTTCAAAAATTCAATTGCGTATAGGGGGTCTTTGGCAGTCGGAGGAAATCAGAGGTTGGGCAGACCTGATCCCACGTGCACATGTTAACCATTCGGGCACTCAACCACCCTATCTCACAAAAGTAATTAGGAATGACCGATTCACAATTAATTAGAAATTACAATACAAAATTCAAAAATTAAATATAATCATATCGGTATTATATTCATATCACGTTAATACACATATGTGTTTTTAGCACATTTTATTCTATTTTAAGGTTCATAACAATAGAGCCAAATGATCTTTAACTTCTATTTATTCTGTAAGATATTTCTATAGTTTGTTTATTATGTTATAGTTTATTGTTAGGCATGCTAGCCTATTCATATTATTTAATTCATAAACACTCACATTTTGTCAATTTTACAAATATTGAAAAGTGCAAAACATGACACATAATTAATAATAGATCTCAATTTCCTGAAGGATTATTTATTTCTATTTCTCAATTTCTATACATTTGTTTGGCCAACATGTACGTACATTAAAAAAACATATCGGTCCGGTACAAATAAAATGATTTAATGTTAGGTACATGTCATGTAGGTCAAGACACGATGAAACGAAAATAAAAACTGACAGATAATCATTTGTAAATACAGATTAGTCCTTTATAAATTTCATTATAAACATAATCCATTTACACTCCCTACTAGAACTAAATCTATACTGACTATAGTGACTAAGTTAGTGGGGGCAATATTTTTAACATTAACAACACTAACAGTCTGGATTATTATAAACAATAACTTTTAGCCTGATATTATACTTTAACAACTTTACAGTCTCTTTTGTAATGGCTTTCAGAAAAGGAAACAGGACAGTCAAACCTAGACGTCTTCAGAATGTGATGTCTGAAGAAAATGACACTGTTCTGAATGGCACTGCCTTGTTGTGAACAGTCGTCGGCGATGGCAGCAATCTGCCAAGTGGCTGTAAATAAATTTCCACAAAGAAATAATTACTTACCAATAATAGCACAATAAATAAAACCAGCGACAGCTTCAAGCAAAATAATTTTTGATCCGTCCGCATTTTGGCTAGCTACCAGCACAATCTAATGTTTCATTTAGTGGATTTTATTTCATTTGACACTTTTTGTGTTTTGACGACTTCCGGCTGACCTAAATCTGCCGGTAGGTGGCGGGCTTTTATTTCCTGTGAGTCACAAAATTGTTACCGGTTAAAAAAACTACTGTAAAAGTTAAGTTTTTTCTCATTATATGACTACTACTTAGTTACCAATTGGAAACCATGATTCCTGGCATTATTTTGTAGTTTATGAAACACTGATACGGGTTCCTGATTGAACTAGGAATTATTGAATTGCGTATTTGGAAAGTCGACCCTAAAAAATGAATAGAAATTGAAAGTAGAGATTAGTAATAACACACATCGTGAGAGCAGACGACGTTTGTTGACACGACAATAATAGCTTCACCCTTACCATGTGTGTTAAACAAGGAAATAAATTGTACCGGTATACTCTTAATTATGAATGGTAAATGTTTTGGTTAGGAGAGCTTGCCAAAACAGGATGGATTTGTTGTTTGCTATTTCAATATCATTTCATTCAGCATTTCATTTACCATGAGTTACTAATACTATTATTAGTAATATAGCGTTATAGTAAGTGCATGGGGACTGCACCACACATAATTAAACAAAACAAATCTACGGACAAGACACAATATGCAGAAATCACAAACAAACACACATTTCAGATTAAGTGATTAAGTGAATGGATTCAGAGGCTAGCTGTAAGCGTCCCAAACATTCAGCTTCTTGGAAATTGAGACTGTACAATACATTACCAATAAATTAAACTTAACTCACTTAAAAAGTTTTAAATCTTCAGCAATATCTCAAATCATGTCCATTGAATAAGTCAGATTTCAACTTTTTGGATCATGTGACTGATACTTTGAAGTTTTTCCGAAGCATTTTACACCTGGAGCGATTCACATCGGCTATGCCAGTGTCTTGAAATAGATTCATATCACTACCCTCTCTGTTAGTGTTATCATTTTAATACATGTGTAGGGCAGAGATGAATCATCTCTAGTTTCAAGCCTGGAAATAGTCAGAAAAAAGCTCAATCCCTCTGATGCCAGTCAATTTGCAGGATTCCAATCAACAGTACTAACAAAAAACATACAAATAATACTTCTAACCTAATTTGATATTACAAGTTGTTTTACTAGTAACACCCAATCTGATGGATTGTGTTTTGTTTCTTTAGTAAAACTTATATGTTGGATGTCTTCAACTCCATACATGCGTACATGTAGATCTGATCAGTTAGTGTGGGAAGTCACGTCTTGGTTCATGTAGGTAAAAACATGGCATGAACATCAATCTGATAATAATATAAATCTATATTTCGTTTCGTTTTTTTATACTTTCGATGGCCTACACTACATGAGGATCTGACAAGTTGTATGAGCGGTTTTTGAACATATGCATGACGTCAGACATTGATTAATCAATCAGCGTAGACATTTCTAGTGGTTTACCCACAGTTCCGTGCATCGCGCAAAGAAGTCGCCGTAACAGATGGTTTCATTGGCAAATCCCTCACTTCATTCAAAACATTATATAACAACTCTTCCAGATCCTAGTGTAGTACAGAGAAATAAAACAAAATTTTGAACTATAAATAACGAAACAAAATAGGATCTGTGTTTTAATCAGATTGCATGAAATATTTGCTAAAAGGATCCTTGACAGTTTGGATTTGTTGAAGTGTAGGTGGAAACACTATAGTTCTACATGTACAGTATAGCATACTGCATGGCTGGATATACCCTGCTTAATTAGCCCAATTGGTACAGAAATGTAGGACGTTAAACATCATTTCATTTCATTTTGTAATGGTAATTCTGACATGATGTTAAGACTTTAATAAATTGTTTTCTTTTTACAGGTGTGGTAGGAAATAGACGTAGAAATGTAGAAATAGTATACAAATGAAGAGGGGACATATTCTTAACCAAGCAGTGCCCCAAAGATTGGGTCTATTTTATTCTTGTTACACCATACAATAAACTGAATATATAGTAACCGGTACCCATATTTAAAACAAGCAAACTTCAACCGTCTTCATTGTATAGTAGAGTAGTGTTATTCTGTTTCAGGACAAAGTGAATGAAATTATTTCTAAACTGAATATAATTGTCTCCAGAAATGGCTACTTTAAGAATACCATGCTGTAACTTCCATAAAAAACTTAGTAATACATTAATAACATTACTGCCAGGGATCTGTGGAAATATTACTCAGAGGAGAGCTTTCAATATATTTAGGACAGAGATAGACCGTGCCAGTAATATAAGAGATCTTGCCTTTCTTAGTTATAATAACTGTACCAGTGTACAAGATTGTAAAGTATTTGCATCATCACCAGTAAGAAGTGTTCATGATGAAAAGCCAAAATCTACTAATTACACAAAGCGAAATTTACCCCACACACCTGTTATGTTGGATCAGGTTTTGAAGTTACTAAATCCATTACCTGGACAGGTATGGTAACATCTTCTTATATTTAAAGATGCATTATGTAACATTTAGATAAAGAGCTCAGCTGGCCATTTTTGCTATATTAGTTCCAAAATAGAAAATGAAAAATGAACATATTGAAAATTTCATTTAAATTACAAATACATGTAGGCTATTTTATTCTGAGCGAAGTTAGGACTGTTGTAGAGAGAGAAATGGGGTGTAACATCCACATGACACAAACTAGGTAATTTTGGGACTAACATATGGTTTTAATTTTATTTCAATAATTCGCTTGTGCGACAGGGCAGTGGGAGGGCCTGGAGAAAACCCACGAGGTTGGACAGGCGACCCTAAACCTTGTTACGTACAACCGGTGATTCGAAATCACGCCAGTTGACTCAATGACAGGCCTTATGATACAGCGCGCACATGCTAACCATTCAGCCATCCACCCCCCCATGACTGTTGTAAGTTGAAACGTACTTGTAGACATAGACCTTTTTTACTGTCAATTGTGTAAATTTATCCTAATTAGATGAGGCCAAGGAACAATTATATAAATGATATTGTCTGATATTAATTACATATTTTCTTGGTGAAAGTGGTGAATGCAGCTTATACTTATAGAATGTCTTTTATTCCAGACTTTTCTTGATATGACATTTGGTGCTGGAGGTCATTCAAGTGAAGTTTTAGCCGTCTCCCCAAATACAAGAGTTCTTGCCCTTGATAGAGATCCAACTGCTTACCATTATGCCTTGGAGTTACAAGAAAAATACAGGTAAACATGAATGGGCCAATACTGTTGTTGTATATACATGTATATATAGTTGTCGCAGCCACTATTTGGGGAGGTAGCAAGCCATCTTAATTTTGACAGTGAATTTATTGTCATCTCCCCCGCCGATCTGTCTGGCGTCCACTTTTGCTTATGAAGAGTCTAGAGGCTATTAAAGTTATCATCTGATTGTTTTGAAATTTATACACACTGTTTATCTTCATGGGATGAAGAATCCTATTGATTTTTGACGATTTCAACCTTTGATCTATATAAACAAATCTTGTGGACTTGCAAGTTGTGTGTTTTAAATACTCGCAGACGGGAGAGTCTGGGAAGGAAAAATGTCTAGTTATTAGGATGGCACGAAGAGCTGTGGTCCTGTGTATACCATTGGTAGTACATTAAATATCCCCTGAAACTTGGAAGTAGAAATAAGAATAGGCTGTAGCTTGGTTGTCCAGTGTTCATGCAAAATTTACCTCATACCGTACGCTGCTACACTGCATATGGCGTATGTCCGTGTTTATTAGGTCGATGTTAGATGGCTTATCCATTCTTCATTCAGTCATGCTCTCATTAAAAATGAGGTATATGTTATTTTAACTGTTTTAAAGGAGGCAAGTCTTTAACTCAATATCATCCACAGTCTTTGACATTGCAAACACGACTTATTGGTCAATTTAAATCAACATTGATGTTGTAATCTTACCATGAAAAGATGGGCTTCTGATATCCAATATTTAAGACTAAATACAAAATTTAAAATTGACACATAAAGCGCATGCCAGAATGCTTTCAAGCGCCATTTGTAGTGAAGCAACTCGATGAATGAGGCTAAACATACCCTCAGAAGAATACCACCGGTGTAGACTGGAAAAAACGGACACCAAAGACTGCCATTCATGTATTTCGCTGAACATAACCAATTAGAAATTACAGTAAAAACAGAAACGATTTAATGTAAATCAGTTTATATACATTCATATTACATGTAGTGACCCATTTGTGTTCATTTCTGGGTGCCAGAGAATAGAGATTTAGCTCCTTTAAATTATGTTTCGTATTTTAGCAATGATCAACTGATACCATTGTTAGGACGTTTTTCTGAGCTTGAATGGCTGTTGACAAGGAAAGGTATTAAAGCAGGTAGTTTAGATAGTGTTTTGTTTGATGTCGGTGTCTCATCTATGCAGTTTGATAGACCTGATAGAGGATTTGCTCTCAGTAAAGATGGACCATTAGACATGAGAATGGATGGAAACAGGTTAGTTATAGGCACATCATGTTAAACTTAATTATAGAAATGAAATGAAATGGGGTTTAACGTCCTACTGTTTTGCTCCGGCTGAGCTAATGAAGACTGGCATATGCCATATAATGTGCTATGAGAGAAATTTTGCCCAGGCAGCGACACTACAACCTACTCTTATATCAAATTCCAAATGCCAAGGGATCTTTTATGTGCACGCCAATGTATACATGGGACCTTGGTTTTCTGTCCCATCCAAACGACTAGACAGCTGTCCTAGTCAGGCCCTCCATCTTGCACCACTGACATGGGGCAACCTCGTTGGAAAATCTCAATGAACTTTCTCAGCCAATGCAACTGAATTATAGGCGATGAGATTTGTCTCGCGGACATGCTTGTTGACACGGTCCGATAAGACAGTAACATCTGCTGTTTAAGCAAACATGAATCACAATACCTATATTTACTGTAGCAGGGGCAGAACCAGAGAGGCAGTTTGGAGTGTCCAACCAAACCCCTCCCTGCTCAGCTATATGAAAAAAATTTGTAAAACAACACTTTTATGAAAAGAGTGTCATGGTCATGTGCTTTATCCTTTATCATCAAATGATGGGATGGGATGGGCATTCAAAGCGCGTGATAATGATATAGACATACATGATATGACCGTATCTCAATTAATGCTTTGCTTCAATGAAATTGAATCACAATGTGGTCCTATTAATTCATAATAAAAATTGATTTGTTGGATTTCTCTATTTAAAAAGCTCACCGTGTATGTATGTATCCCTACGTAATGTGGTGACAATGATGGCATCATGCATAGCCAACTACTGTCAAATTTCCTTAACAGGAACCTGGCAAACGCCCTCCTGCAAAAATTCCTGGATCCACCCCTGTGTAGTTATCTGTCCTGGCAAAATTCCCCTCTTAGTACACTGTATGGGCTATAGCCCATCTTCATTAGCCCAGTCAGTGCAGAAAAGTAGGATGTTAAACCCCATTTCATTTTTACTCTACAGTTATCAATATTTCCCTCATATTGCAGATTACCAGATCAGCCATCAGCATCCGATGTCATCAATATGATGAGTGAACCAGAGTTATACCATATAATAAAAAAATACGGTGAAGAACGTCTGGCCAGGAAAATAGCTAATATTATTGTGGAGTCTCGCTATGCTTTTGGTAAAATTACGACAACCAAACAGTTGGCCAATATTATCAGCAGTGTCTTTACTGGGTGAGTTATCCCCCTTTACATCTACACTGTACTAGGTACCTACAAAAACAGACCAAATTTATAAAACCAAAAATGCCAAGTATTTGTTATTCTAGCGTGCCGCACACAAATTTAATGAAAAGACATTATGCCAGCACTGTTAGTTCTGAGGCTTAGGTGGTTCGAAGGGGTTTAGGAAGGTGTATGTAGTTTCAGTTGGTTTAAAAAAATGCAAAACCGAACATCACTTTTCTCTCAGTTTTCATGGGACTGAGGTAGTCAGTATACACATGGGTTAGGGTTGGGCGATATACCCGGTTTTTCGGTATATCATGATAAAATCATTAGCAATTTTATCATATCAAACTTTTTAAAATATATCGAAAAAACAGTGTATCGTGAAAACCAAAATTATCACGATATGACAATTATCGTGTCCCAACATGATCACCTATGACATTCTATTGATAGAATTAAATTCATCAGTAGAAATAGCATTATTAAGTACCAGCTTGTCTAGGGTAAATCTTCATCATGGCATCTACCGACGACGTTAGCAACAATAATTTGACATCAAGCGACGATTTTCGGCCCAAATATTTAAAATTTTATTACTTAAAACTCATGTATAAATTATCACGATAATATCTTTATCGTGATATTTAATAAATTATCACAATATTATTTTTTCATTATCGCCCAACCATAATATGGGTTAGCCAGTAGCACGTTTTCCTTGTGGGATATCATTTCTTAAATGTATCTGTTGTCTGAAAATTGTTTGATTGTAAGTAAAACTAATTCTTGTCAAATAAATATCTTTTCAGAGATCACAGAAAAGATAAACTGATGCGGCATTCCCACGTTGCCACAAAAACATTTCAAGCTCTACGAATATTCGTTAACAACGAATTAAATGAATTAAACAATGGGATAGAAATAGTTCACAAATTTCTCAAACCAGGTGGCGTGTGTGTTGTTTTAACTTTCCATTCATTGGAGGATCGAATAGTCAAAAGACATTTTCACGGAATTTCATTGGACGACAAACCAAATATGTCCATAAAAGACCATTTCCGTAACTCTCATTACATTCATTCAAAAGAGGAAGTGGAAAAGGTTATGCAGAAACGTTGGCAGCCATTATCAAAGAAATTGATGGCACCGAGGTATATTGATTGTCTAGAGAATCCAAGGGCAAGATCAGCCAAATTACGTGCAGCCTTTAAATTAGATGATAAGAAAGAGACTTGATGTGTGTTCTATTGTAGACTTGATTAGCAGGGGTGTTGTGATCCAAATGTTTGTGGTATATTATAGTGGTGGGGATGTTTTCAGAATTAAAAGAGTATAGTTTCTGATCTAGTTTTAAACATGTAGTCATTTGTTGTAGACATGCATGTAAATCAACTACATTTGTCTTTAAAAAAAAAACCACACAACGCAATTTATATGGAAAACAGTTAATAGTTTGTACACATATAGCACAATGTTTTGACAAGTATTCTCTTATCGTTTTTAAGTACAAAACGTTCTATATGTGTATAAATCAGTGATTGTTTTTCATATAAATTGTGTTTTTTTATTGTACTCTATCGTTAAATGCCACTCAAGGATCTGTAGGGGATGCCAAAGGTTGACAAATTTTCACAATGGTGTAGCTTGCAAGGGATTCCTCAATCTCTCAAATGGCATTTACCACTGATTTTAAATTTATTAAGAAGTTTGCAAATCTATAAACTGAATACAGCTGCTCGACACTGGTGTTATTGTGAATCTAAATGTTTCTGAATCTTTCGTTCTCATGTAGTATACCCCACACTACCAGGTGTACATGTGTGTAGAACGACTGTTTTTGACATTTAGCATGAGGGATCACACGATGATCATAGCTGAGAATAATACAACACAAATAACAAAACCAATCAATTTTTATTTACCCCTAATTTCATAAATTTAACGTCAATTAATTGCTGTTTTTAAACAGTAATTATAACAGAAATAATATTATACATGTAGTAGAAAATCTAAATTGATTTACATAATAATAATTTTCGTATGTAGTAGCTACATGTAATTTCAGAACATCTGTAAATGAAATACTGCAACCAAACAAATCAGCAGTTTAACCTAGATGAAAGCAAGCCTAGATATAACAGACATTGTCAGACACAATCCCTCCGGGGCCTGTCAATTTACCGGCACAAATTTGTGTTTTTATCGATATTATTAAAGATACATTATGTAAGATTTAGATAAAGAGACAGCCATTCTGGTTATAATAGTCCAAAAATAGAAAATGTAAAATGAATAATTTGAAAATTTCATTCAAATTACTCTATTGTGAGCGAAGATATTAGCCTTTGAGGGTTTGACAAGAAAGTGTGCAATAATTTCAACCACCGTACTGGTTGTGTGAAGCTAAGTATCGCTCCTCCATTTTTAGCTCAAATCAAAATATGGCTGAACTGTTCTAATCTATTTAATATTGGAGAAATCACATGCCATCAAGAGCTGATTATGGCCTGGAGAAGTTAATTAATGTCTAATTAACAATTGAGAAAAAAATTTCAGGCCTAAAGAAAGACCTGCAATAGGCAAATTTAGCTCTTGCATAATGTATGTTTAATACATATCCGGCAGACCAGCACTAAGTTGAATATATCACGAACTAGTTCATTAAGAGTGTCTGACATTTTGTCGAGTACAACTAAAACCGTTATATACAGGCTTGCATGGAAGTCGGCAGTTTTGTATCAAGTATATTGAAACATAAAAACAACAATGAGAACACAATAGAAAATTATGTCGAAACATGTGCATTGATGAAAATCTGGAAGCAACTTCATTGTAAAAGGTAGTATGGACATACCCTACAGGATGTTGGTCAGTGAAAGAAGCAATAAATGGGTTTTAAAAACTGCAATTTGGAATGTGCACACGGTGAGAGGAACTATATATGCACATAAAATCAAAGCATACTCTTTCCTTCTAATGACTAGCCAAAAAAATCTTGCACATGCTTAATTAAAACTTTGACTAGTCAGAGTCATTACAGAGGGAGAGAGAGAAATATGGTTTAACTTCCACTTGACACAAACTATGTCATTTCGGGACTAACATGGTTCAATTTTATTTCAATAATTTGCTTGCGCGTAGGGGTTTTTAGCAATAGGAGGACCCGGAGAAAACCCACAATGTTGGACAGGCAACTCTACTCCTTATCACGTTCAACCTGAGAATCGAAACCACACCAGTTGACTCAATGACAGACCTTATGATACAGCGCTCATGCTAACCGTTCGGCCATCCAACCCCCCTGCTAGAGGCGCGAGCTGTCGGTTGTTCATTGATACGAAGAAGAATGTGGACAGTAATTGATGTGTAATGGGTGAAAGTGATATGAGACAGTATATTGGATAGAACAAGATTAAACAAAATCAATGTACGACACTGAATTTCGATAGGATTTCTTTCTGCAAGCAGTTCCAGTAAGTTTGAAAAAATGTAAAAAAAAAACTAACTTGTTCAGAATTTACATGTGAATAGATGGATGAACCATGGCAGTTCGAATATACTCCATATAAAATGTGGGCAAATAAAAACAAGTGAATAGACAATCTATTCTTCAGATTAAAAAGTAAAAACATTCATGTATATATACCACATATATGCGAACAAGATAGCAGTAGTTCTCCCAATGAAAATCTACAAATCTCATCACTAATTTTTTTTTATAGCTCTTACAGTGTCCATGATTTTATGCACGTTATGTTGGTATTACAAAACAATAAGTTATAATATTATTTTAGTAAGAAATAAGTTTGTCTTATTAGTCTATGTATCTGAATATTAAGAGTTCTTTATACCAAAATGATTTTTTCGGAAAAAGAATTATAAGTTTTCCATTAAAACACCAAATGCAAAATAAATAAATTTAGGCACAACTAAACATGCTACTGCTTTGCGCCTCACGACCCGAAGGGATCTGTTTTATTTCTTCTTTTTTGGGGGGCTTTCAATAGATCTTTTTTGGATAAGAACCATTGTAAGTCATTTTGGTGTACTTTTAAACAAATTTTAACTCATCAAGTTATCTTAATATTGGCACATCATTAAATCAGTAATTAATTTACCTAAGATAAGTGAAAGGAATAATAAAATAATATTGGAGAGAGAGAGAGAGAAATGGGGTTTAACATCTCGACTAACATATGGTTTAATTTTATTTTAATAATTTGCTTGCGCGTAGGGGTCTTTAGCAGTGGGAGGAAACCGGAGGACCTGGAGAAAACCCACGAGGTTGGTAAATAATATTGGAAATTGAAGTGTTCAAATAGCACATACAATATTATAGATGGAGTTCTGCAAGTCAAATTTACCCCAAATCGATACAAATAATTGTTTTACTAGAAAAACTTTCAATAAAAACAACAGAATGTTATAGATTATGAACTTTACAGGAATACCATTTTTTAGACAGTACACAACTAACTGGTTTGTTGTAAGTTCATCATTATAAAAGATAGCCCCGATTGAGGCGGGACATGTTACAACCAATTATAGGGTGCCCCGTGATATATAAAATATCTCCAAATGTATCCACAAGTATGCCTCTATATTCATATATATAACAAGCCTTACCTACGTTTCCTCCATTTATCATCTCTAAACACACAGTCATGTTGTATTTAAAGATACATTATGTAAGATTTAGATAAAGAGCTGACCATTGTTGCTATACAATGGCTCAAAAATGTAAAATGAAAATTTTGAAAATTTCATTCAAATTTCTTCATTCTGAGCCAAGTTATCACTGTTTGTAGTTTTGACAAGATGTTTGCATTATGGTAACCAGTGTACAGGTATAGTCAAGACTTAACCTCACTTTCCCATTTTTAAACTAAATTTTTAAATAGCAAACCGTATCTAATCTAGTTAAAATCTTGAGTATCCGATGCCATCAATAGTTGATTATGGTCTAGTTTTGTTAATAAATGTCTAATTAGTTTATATAACATTAAAGACCTAAAGAAAGACCTGCAAATAGGCGGATTTAACTCTTACATATGTTTAATAAGTTATATTAATCTCACTAAACCAGTCTATTATTAGCCAATACCTGGCTGATTAACGGGCCTGGAATATCAAGAATATTTTATATAGAAATATAAACAGCTAGGAAAAGAATCTGAATTCAGAAAGTCTGTGAAGATTTCAAGAAAAGTATGACTAACATTCTACTATGAGCTCTAAATGACATAATTAATAAAATAACAAATTGATAAATAAACCTAACTGACAATTTAAATATTACTGTAATTCAGACTCATTAACATAAATTTTTGATGGTTCTTTATTATTTGATAGGCATATTTAAAGAATATCATATGTGGTGATCTTTTAGAGGCATTGAGTAACTGGATAGAGCAATAAACTATAACACATACTTATGAAAGATGTGTGGTAACATTTGTTACTGTACTTGCTTGAAAATGTTGAGAGAATACTCTTCGAAACGTCACCTAAATAAATAAGTAATTGTTCTTCCATAAGTACGTGTTATAGTTTATCATGTGTGATGGATATTAAAAGGTGAATACAAGCTACTGCTGACAATGTATATATACATTGAAGCTGTTTTGTAAAAATTGTGGCTGAACATTCAATGAAGTAAGTTATCTTTATCAGATCCCATTTCAGTGTGGGGCACCCCGCACATTAATAAATAAACTAAGGTCTATTTTCTAATTTTCTACTATGTTTGAACCTGTGTAGAAAGTAATGGATTATTTTCTATATTATGAGATGGAAACTGATCAACTAAAGAATTGAGAGGTTGTGAAACAGAATTAACTAAATCTGTATTTTTCCTATTTTTTTCTTCTGCGATTTTAAATCGACAACATATAATATCAACTATAAATCCACAGATATCATGTAGCATCCCTGAAAAATATACATTACAATTTTAATATATGGTGGGTAAGAATACATAACAATACTATCTATATATATTTCAAAATACACAGGAAACAATTACTGTCTATTATTGAGCAACGTTTCAACTAAGATACTCTAGCCATGATACATCACTCACTAATTAAAAGAAATGAAATGAAGAGGGGTTTAACGTCCAACTGGTCTGCTCCGACTGGTCTAATGCTGACGGGCATACGCTATGAGGGGCATTCTGGCCTACTCTTATATTGAATTCCAACTGCCAAGGGATCTTTTATGTGAATGCCAATGTGTACAGGGGACCTTGATTTTTTGTCCCATCAGAATGACTAAACAGCTGTCCTTGTCAACTGTCCTGGATCACTAACATGCGGAAACCACGTCGGAAAATCCCGAAGAACTTTCTCGACCAATGCAAGGACCGAACACGCCACCGTAGCAACTGTGGCTCCCACTAATTAGTAATAAACAGAATTTTCTCTAATAAAGATGAAGCTGGGAATAAAAATGGATAATTTCTTGGTGACAGACAGTCCAGTGGTTCCAATTACCATAATAGTACCATTAATCCACACACTTATATCTGCATATACAAGTAAATCTACTGGAAATATGCTGGACATAATACTATGGACAGGAAAATCCCATAATAATTGTATTTCATAAAATTGTGTATTTCCGATGACACAATTAAAACAGATGGAGAGAGAGAGAGAGAAATGGGGTTTAACATTTGACACAAACTAGGTCATTTCTGGACTAACATATGGTTTAATTTTATTTCAATAATTCGCTTGAGCGTAGGGGTCTTTAGCAGTGGGAGGAAACGGGAGGACCCGGAGAAAACCCACGAGGTTGGACAGGCGACCCTACTCCTTGTCACGTACAACCGGGGATTCAAAACCACGCCAGTTGACTCAGTGACAGGCTTTATGATACATCGCGCACATGCTTACCATTCGGCCATCCAACCCCCCTAAAACAGATGGTAACACATCATCAGAAATTGAAATCCATTAATTTAGTCTCTGAATATTGACAAAATAAAATAAATTGCTAGATTCTATCGCAACCTTCTGCACTGGAAATTTATTCCAAATATCTGTCCTTAATACATGAACATTCAAGTTTATTCATTTTATATGAGTTTAGAGTGAGTACTCACCTGAGACTGAAAATATACCGCCTACAATACCACACATCCTGACAATAAACTGCCAGAATGGTTGATGTTCTTCACGTACTTGTATTTTTAAAGAATTCAGATCATATTTAACAAATATACCAGGTACTCCATGGCTACCTTCATGGTGATTAATACTACGATTCTGTAAATGTATTTAATGTATATCCATAATATATAATATGTATAATTTTTTCTGATCCCGTTTGTATGTACGCATATACTTATACGTATGTATTTGTAAATAAACTATACTATTTAAAAAAACAGAATGAATGAAATGGGGTTTAACTCAACATACTTCGGTTTTGCTCCGACTGGGCTTATGAAGACGGGCATATGTCATACAGTGTGCCATGGTGGAAATTTTGCATGGACAGCGGCACTACAGCCTCCTCTTATATCAAATTCCATCTGTCATTGGATCTTTAATGTGCACACCAATGTGTACATGGCACCTAGGTTTTTGTACCATCCAAACGACTATATGTCCTGCACCACTGACAAAGGGTCGGAATATCCCGATGAACTTTCTCAAACACAGGACCTCCTGGCTTACTGGTTTTTCGTCCCCTCCGAAAGACAATACAAAGTTCCAGGCCGATGTCTTACTCACTGAACCATCGTGGCTCCCCCATAACATATAGCATTATGACAGACAACCGAATATAAACTCATCAATCAGTAGCTTTCAGAAATGAGGTAGGGTTGTAAGTTACAAATTAGCATTCTGCCGTAGCTGCATATATATGCAAACCAAATTCAAAAAAAATTTAAACGATAAGGCTTCAGCGATAAAGGCAGGTAGGGTTGCAACCTATAAATTAGAGTTCTACTGTATATATATGTAACACAAATTCCCAAAAATTTAAACGATAAGGCTTCAGCGATAAAGGCAGATATGGTTGCAACCTATAAATTAGAGTTCTTCCGTATATAAATGTAACACAAATTCTCATAAAATTGAAAAACGTTAAGGCTTCAGCGATAAAGGCAGGTAGGGTTACAACCTATAAATTAAGAGTTCTACCGTATATATGCAAAACAAATTCCCTCAAAATATAAACGCTAAGGCTTCAGTGATAAAGGCAGGTAGGGTTGCAATCTATAAATTAGAGTTCTAATGTATATATGCATCACAAATTCCCACAAAATTTAAACGATAGGGCTTCAGTGATAAAGGCAATAACTTTACACTAATTTAACAATGCATATCAGTTCTAAGCTGATCAATGAAAAGAGAGAGAGAGAGAGTTTAATCTCCACTTGAACATAAAATAGTTCATTTTGGGATTAACATTGGTTCGGTTCTATTTCAATAATTTGCTTGCACGTAGGGATCTTTAGCTATGGGAGGACCTGGAGAAAACCCACGACGGAGGTTTGACAGGCAACCCTACTCCTTGTTACATAAAAACAGGGAATCAAAACCACGGCACTTGACTCAATGACAGATTCTTCCCAGCCCCCCCCATCCCCCTGTATGATAAACATTGACAAAATCTATACATGTATTTACCCTTTCTGTGACAGCAAACTGATATGTGTCAACGTTTGCAGAATACGTTCTCACAGCTGTAGGAACGACTTTCATAAAATACTGAAACATGTGATAATCTGAAAATACAAAAATAAATAGGAGAAATTTAAAAGTTACTTAAAGATACATTATGGGAGATTAGATAAAGAGCTGACAGTTCTCGCTATAATAGTTAAAAACTAGATAATGTAAAGGTAATTTGTTGAAAATTTCAGTCAAATTGATCCACTATGAACCAAGATCCACCTAGCCTCATTCATCATTAGTAAAGTTAGTACGTTAAAAAGTATAGTCGCGATTATCCATTGTTTTGATTTAATTATCAATGAGCTTTAGCAGCATATAGGATTCTAATCCAGTCGATATTGAAGGCTAGCCTTGACATCGAGAGTTGATTATGGTCTGGATAAGTTAATTAATGTGTAATTAATAATTTAGATAAGATTTCAGGCCTAAAGAAAGACCTGCAATAGGTAGATTTAGCTCTTGCATAATGTATGTTTAAACATGAAAACATATCTGAATCTAGGAATACTAAAGGAAGTACCTGTACCCTTTTTGTTACCTATCTTCTATACAAATAAAATAAAATCAAAAATGTCTGTGTGAATGGGTGTGTGTTCGCCCATCATGCTTCGTTGCGACGATCCATCCCCACATAATATGTGGTATCAAATTATGTGGTATCGCCCCGGGCATTTTGGGCCCTGGGCAATGTAGGGTATCCTGCTAGTATGAATAAAAAATAAAAAATCTTCCTATCAATTTTCCTTTCGTTAACTTATTCCCTTCCTTAAACTGCTTTTTGTCATTTTGGGGATTTTGAATCCCTTGAAACCAACAATATTGTGAAAGTTGGATTCCTAAATTATCAATCCAAATATTGTACAGTTTTGTTCAGTATATAGTACAAACATATAACGAACCAAAAAGTTTGCAGCATTCGTCATAGTCTTAGGTTTAATCTGATTGCATCAAAGCTGGGCAATTATGTACCGTTGATTGTTTTGTTTTCTTAACTAAACATTAAAAATTAATTGGAGTATATTTTAGTGTGTATCAAACTGTGAAAGATGAGTTATTGTCCGAAACAAGCAAGTGGATTTACATGCATTAAATAGATTGTGCCCCAGAAAGGCCTGATCTTGATTTGATGTTGATTGTGTAAGCTCAAAAATTCCAAAGATAATGCTATTATGATTGGTATTCTTGTGACCGATTGGGCTAATGAAGATGAGCATACGCCATTCAGTGTTATATGAGGGACATTTTGCCTGGACAGCGGCACTACAGCCTACTCTTATATCAAATTCCAACTGTCAAGGGTTCTTTTTCAGACACATCAATGTGTACACGGGACCTCTGTTTTCATCCCATCCAACTGACTATACATTGTCCCTTGTCAGATCCTCGGTCCTACACCATTGAGCCACAGTGGCTCCTCGGAACGACTATGCATTTTCCCTTGCCAGGCCCTTCGTCCGACACCACTGACAAGGGAGAACCACGCTGGAAAATCTTGATGAACTATCTCGGTCAACACAAGGATTGAACACAGGACCTCCAGGTCAGTGAACCAATGTCTTACTCATTGAGCCACAGTGGCGCCTATAAGTATAAAAGTTTAAACTTACTATTAATAGTAACAAGTTCCTCTCCATCTAAAGGATAAACAACACCAGCTATCGGCTCACCGAATGAAAGGTGATCAATTCTATGACTAAAATTATAATCTGCAAAAGGAAGAGTAATTGATTTGCATAAAATGGAAAATGAACAATTCTACAAAATGAAAGAGGTTAACTAAATATACATGTAGATTAGGATTATTTTCAATAAACAATGCGGGAAGAGAAAGAAATGGGGTTTAACTTCCATTTGGCACAAAATAGGTCATTTCGGGACTAACATGGTTCAATTTTATTTCAATCCTTTGCTTTCGTGTAGGGGTCTTTAGCTATGGGAGGAAAATGGAGGACCCAGAGAAAACCCAAGAGGCTGGACAGGTGACCAATAAACAAAGGGAGAGACCATAGGGTTGTTAAACAAGATATTGTCCAGGATCAAATCTTGAAACGTTATTAATCAGAAAGATTGGTCATTTTTGTGGGACAATCTGAAGACATTAATGTTTGATTAACAAATTTCTTCTATATAAATTGTCAGTTGTCCGATCTATAGAATATCACATGAAATCTTAACCCCCAACTAGAAAATGTACTCTTGTATATATTACTGTATAAACTGATATGGAAATAGAATTGTATACCTTTTATATCTGTATATAAACTGATATGGAAATAGAATTGTATATCTTTTATATCACCCCTTGGCACATGCCCCACCCCTATGTGAGGGCCCTGCTCCTCCGTAATCTTCACATGAACATACATACATACTGTGAAGTAAATTTCAGTCAATCGGATCATAGCTTTAGCCTCTAGAGTGACTACATCGAACAGACAGACAGGGGTGAGAACATTATACAATCACCTTTCAATATGGATGTATAAAAACTTAGAATTAAATATGACTTTATTTCCAAATGCTTTAATCCAAATTTGATATTTATTACATCTAGAGTGTCTATGTCAAACAGACTGACAGGGATGAGAACATTACACAATCACCTTTCAATATGGACATATAAAAACTTAAATCTAAATTTTATATTTATTGCAGTTTGGAAATAAACTCATGTTTTCTGATGTGCAAGAAAGACACTAATCTAATAAGAACAAAGCAAAAATCTATTTATGACTACAGGGAATTTTAAAACCCAAATATACATAAATAGTGATTTGGTGGGTTTTGGGTTAAACAGTAGTATGACTGGTTGATTTACAATAGGAGGGTTAGAATAATGATGTGTAAAAATCCGAAATAGTAAACAAACAAACTTAAATCTAAATTTTATATTTATTGCAGTTTGGAAATAAACTCATGTTTTCTGATGTGCAAGAAAGACACTAATCTAATAAGAACAAAGCAAAAATCTATTTATGACTACAGGGAATTTTAAAACCCAAATATACATAAATAGTGATTTGGTGGGTTTTGGGTTAAACAGTAGTATGACTGGTTGATTTACAATAGGAGGGTTAGAATAATGATGTGTAAAAATCCGAAATAGTAAACAAACAAATTTTAAAATATCATCATTCTACTAAGGGTTGCTTTAGCTGGGTGTCAGGTGAGAGTAAGAAGGATTTGAAGGTATTGTTTTACCTGGCTACAGAGTGGCAGTAAGAAGTAGGCAAATTGTGTAATAGTTAAAGGCATTGCTTTATCTGGGTACAAACTACAGATCGGCAATAAGAAGTGTAGGCAAATTATTTAGGGTTTGAAGGCATAACTCACCAGAGGGCGGTAACATAGGTGTCATATGTTTGTGCCCTCGCATTCCAGCATGACGGAAAACTCTGATAAGGAAACAAAACTACACATAAATATTTGGATTATGACAGTAATTGACGTGGATTGTAACTGTTAATCTAGGTGGACCTAGGTTTTATTTAGGGATTCCAAACTGAGCAATTTTAAAATACGTGACTGTGTTGCATGACAAAGCACACTGGCTTCCTTTCTTCGTATGAAAATCTGTTAAAGTGAATAACTGTGAATAAGTCTAATAATGGGAAGGGTTAGTCAATAAAAATTAGTAAATAAAGTATACATAATACATAATCAGTAGCGGTACCAGGAATTTCCAGGGGGGTCGGGGGCTTTGGACTGAAATTTTCAAAACTCCCAATGAAGTAAGAGTATGACCAGGATAAGATACTCAATCAACAGGATAAACTGTTTCTTAGCATCGTTCAGAAAGGGGAAAATGGCCTATGGAGCTTGGATACGGAAAGGCTTCGATGGAAAGATACACACAGGTACATTCATTTCTGAATTTTTTAAGTCCATTGAGATAAGTTCTCTGGTGTCGCCACTGACAATATAAAACAAGCCAGCTTATTAGTATCCTATATATTAGCTACATGCATGGTTATACTCATGTTAAACATTTATACAAGCTAACATGCTAATATTACTATATCTCACCACTGTCACTTAACATCATTGATAAATGGGCGTGACCACGAGGTATTACTGGTATAGATCTAAATAAAAATTATTTTCTTTTAAAGCCCCAACAATGACATATATATGTTAAAATAGTTGATCGTCATTTGCATTTTTCGAACAATATTTTGATTTTTGAAGGCTTGAGCCAAGATATAATGTACTCAAATTGATTGTTTAACATCAAGAAAACAAATCAAAATATCAACAATCCATAATCTCTGGCTGGAATTTAAAAACGGTTCATCAAAATATGGTCGGCCTAGCTGGTTTTGACCCTATTGATTTAGTGAAATTCAACATATCTTTGTAAACATATCTGGACTGATATTCACTTTTCCCAATATTGTAATTTGCAAGTGATTAACCCGTTAAGCGTGACGTTTTTAAAACGTTAACTACCTCCTATTGTGTAATTAATTTGACGAAGTAACAAAGAACTATGTACTATGTTCTAAGAATAGGTTGGGGAAAATACCTCCAAGGCGTTATATTATGCCCTACACACAGTGGCAGTTGTCCGGGACGTTATATAATGATCCGAGACATTAAATATAGAGTTTAAGATTATACACCATCAAGAATACTTTTATTACAAAACATTTTACTCCAATCGATTATTCAAATCGATCAATATCAGTCCAAATGTGGTTCCATCCTATTCAGTATTTACAAAGATATGATGAATTGAAAATTTGAAAACATTCAGCATTTGATGCAAGTTAAATAAATGGCATCTGGGTCAAAACCAGCTAGCACCAACTAAAATATTGGTTAAAATTCTTTGGATGGGCCTCTTTTTTATCTCATAAAATCCAATCCAGGAGATAATCAAAGCTTGATATTTTTTTTTTCTTAATTAAATGTTAAATCAATCAATCTGAGTACATTTTAGGGTGGACTATTAAAAAAAAAAATGAGATATTGTGTGAAAAATGTTAATGACAATCACTGACTTTAATAAAAGTAAATAATATTTTCACACCCAACTACACCAGAATAGAGTTTAAATATACACAATTAAAAGTAATTATATGTAAAAATAGTCTAAAAATATAAAATAAGTTTAGTTTGCTTTATTTTTTAAATCTAAACTTCTACCTTTCGTGTTACATCGTTAATAATAAATAGATATTTTAGTCTATTTTAACATTTGAGTCATTTTGCTATCACAGGTCACATATATTATATACATGGATTGTTGTTTCTTTATATGAATGGAATGAAATGGGTTTAACGTCCTACTATTCTGCTCCAATTGGGCTAATGAAGACAGGCATATGCCATTCAGTGTGCTTTAAGTGAAAATTTGCCTGGACAGCGGCACTATGGCCTACTCTTATATCGAATACCAAATGCCAAGGAATCTTTTAAGTGTACGCCAATGTGTACACAGAACCTCGGTTTTTCGTCCCAAACGAACTATCTTTACATGAAAATTTCTACTTACTTCCCGGCTGTAATATGAAAATTACCAGCGACCTTGTTGACCTCTAATGTACCATGAACTCGACAAGAATCCGGTTCATGATCTGGTTTATCTTCTCTGATAAAACATATAAAAAAAAAACCAAACATACTTTTACAATTTATTCTCTTGGCTTGACAGGTTGGTTTATAATATTCATGTCTTGTGTTTTGGAAGCTTTAGTTTGATCAGGGGTTGGGTGGCCGGGGCAGCTAATGAATGCACTTTAGATCAAAAGGTCTGTCATTGGCATGGTTTCAACTCCAAACTTGGATACTACAAGAAGGGTTTATTGCCAAGCCTTGATGGTTTCTCAGGTTCTTCTGGTTTCCTCTCACTGTCAAAGACGCCTCTACGCAAGTGAATTATCAAAATAAGAACTAGCTATTTTCAATCATGGTCTGTACCTAGCAGTTTAGATAAGACAAAAAACAGACATCTATCTGTGTACACATGGTTGTGCACATAAAAAAAGCATTGACAGACTCGAAATTATTAGAGTACTGAGTCAAGGAGATCAGGCCAGTTGGAGAGAGGAGGCTTTAACAAGATCATTTCGGGACTAACATATGTTTTAATTTTATTTCAATAATGTGCTTGCGTGTAGTGGCTTTTAGCAGCGGGAGGAAACCGAAGTACCCGGAGAAAAACAATGAGGTTAAACAAGTGACACCACTTCTTCTCACGTACATGCAGGGAATTAAAACCATGCCACTTGACTGAAATACAGACCTTATGATCTAACATGCACGCGTTTACCACCCAACATAAACAGAGAAAGTTTCTAAATGAGAATCTATCAGCATGTCATTATTCCAACCCTGTTATTCACATTGCTTCATTCATGTAATTTTGATGCGCACATTATTAAAATCCTACCTCGGAGGCATGCCACCACGGAAATTAGGTCCTCCCGTTTTCCACAGTAATTCCTGTACTGCGTGGTATTCTGTTTGTAAATATCTGTTCACTTCCTGAATAAAGTTTTGATATTTTTTCTGTTTAGGTGAAAGGTCAAAGTAAGCTGGATCAAGAGTTAATTGACCAAAACTGTGTGTATCTTGACCTGTTACATCCAGGATGTCAGCTCCTATAACTAAAATAATATTAAAACACAAAAATTAAATAACGGGCTATACAACATATTCACAGGTCACTTTGAAATATGAATTGAAAAATGAAATAAAATGGGGGTTTAACGTCTTACTGTTCTGCTCCAACTGACTTAATGATGACGGGCATACTGTGTTCTATGACAGCGGCACTACAGCCTTCTCTTTTATCGAATTCTAACTGTGCACGTCAATGTGTATACTGGACCTCAGTTTTTCATGTAATCGTCCCATGTAAGACCCCCACATGTTAGTGAGTCAACATTTTAGACTGTGGCTCCAATGAATTGAAAGAGAGAAAGAGAGAGAGAGAGAGAGAGAGAGAGAGAGAGAGAGAGAGAGAAATGGGGTTTAACTTTTAGACCACTTGACACAAACTAGGTCATTTCAGGACTAACATATGGTTTAATTTTTTTTTTTCAATAATTCGCTTACGCGTAGGGGTCTTTAGCAGTGGGAGGAAACTGGAGGACCCGGAGAAAACCCACATGGTTGGACAGGCGACCCTACTCCTTGTCACGTACAACCGGCCATGAATTGAAAACAATACAGTGAAAAACAATACAGTGAAGAACCACTAAAAACAATTTGATATACATGTAACCTCCTCCCACCCAGTTGATGTATAGATAAGCTTCTGTTTCCCATTAGGGGATCATGTGGCTAAGTGGGTAAGACGCTGGCTCGCTAGCCTGGAGGTAGGGTGTTCGATCCCTGCATTGACCGAGAAAGTTCATCCAGATTTTCCGGCGTGGTTTTGCCTTGTCAGTGATGCAGAACGGAGGGCCTGACAAGAACAGCTGTCTAGTCATTCGGATGGGATGAAAAACCGAGGTCCCGTATACAAATTGGCGTGCACGTAAAAGATCCCTTGGCAGTTGGAATTCGATGTAAGAGTAGGCCATAGCGCCGCTAGCCGGGCAAACTTTCCCTCATAGCACACTGTATGGCGTATGCCCGTCTTCATTAGCCCAGTTTAGAAGCAAAACAGTAGGACGTTAAACTCCATTTCATTCCATTTCCCTGTAATCATTCTGAACATCTGAGACACGCTACCTGCGGAGAAGTATCTCAGACACAGTCAGTAGCCATGATATCCATATCACGTGATCGACACATCACAGGTCATGACATTGGCGTCAATGGGTCATGAGGTCAACATTGTAAACAATAGGTTTATCTTCAGCATTGTGTCCGTTGCACCCATAAAGACTATATAATTCGTACAGTCCCAACATGTTCTCTCTTCTTCCAATGATTTTTCACAAAAATAACATCTACAACTCATAGAATTGACGTTGTCTTCAATGACAGCGTCTGCGAGGGTTGTTCATAGAGGCCGCCATATTGCACTATTTTGTGCGTCGGTCGGGTCTATTTCAGATATACACAATCAATTCTGTTGATGTTTTTAGCGTTGGGATTGACTAATAGTTAATGTGTTTCAGTTCTAAAACAAATATTTTAAACTTTAACCCAAATTTAGAAAATAGCCAAATTCTGGCTGGGATTACTGAGCAAAATGGCCATTCACTGTATATGTGCGAAAAAAAAGCTAGCCACCAATTAATTTTCGTACGTTAGTTACGTACGCCCTGTCATATGATGTAAATTTACCCCCATCCCACTCATTTGACTCTCATATGGTCCCACACCATGGGTTCCATGTCAGCTGTATATGCCGGTTGAGACCGAGGGCTATGAAAAATGATATGACCCATAGCGTATTTTTTTAAAAAAGCCAATTTCCAAAGTGCATTCAAATTTTTTTACATCATTATTATTCTGGTGGCTATTGACATTGTAGATATAAAAGCTAAAGATTAGTAAACTTGCTTACCGAAAAATTAAGGAAATTATGTATTCCAGTGCTATTTTATAATTATTTTGATAATTCACATGTCACTAAAATATTGTGCATATTTTACTCTTATTATGCACGATGATATTCTACTTCTAGGAGGCGCTGTGAAATTAGTCTGATACATGTATTAGCTATTCATTATTTGAACTTATGTCACAATTCTGCAACCTGTAATGAGCTACTGAGCTACTGGAATGATTTTTCCATGGCCAATTCAGCTCTTTATTTGTCTTTAACCAAGTAAGAAATTTTGATAATAAAAGCTATTTAAATAGCCAAAAGAGAAAATTTCATAAAACATACATTATGCAAGAGCTACATCTGCCTATTGCAGGTCTTTCTAGAGGAGTGAAATGTTATCTAAATTATTAATTAGACATTAATTAACTATAACTTATCCAGACCATAATCAACTCTCGATGTCATCGCTAGCCTGTGATATTTACTGGATTTGAGTACATTTTGCAATGGATGATTTAATGTCAAAATGGATAATCGAGACGTTGTTTTTATCGTACCGACTATAGTAATGCTGATCGAGGCTAGGCCTAAAATTCAATCGCTACTATCCCGGTTTAGAGTGGATCAATTTGACTGAAATTTTCAGCATATTCTCTTTATGTTATCTATTTCTAACTATTATAGCGAGAACTGTCAGCTCTTTATCTAATCCCCATCTTCATTAGCCCAGTTCAGAGCAGAACAGTAGGACGTTAAACCCCATTTCATTTTCATTTCATTTCTTTATCTAATCTCCCATAATGTATCTTTAATAAATTATCACTAAAGCCCTACTAATATTTCAATAGACAATATATAAATTTTTGTGTACACTATGCTGACAAAATGGTAAAGACACGTGAATTCATGATACCCTACCATAAATTAAAAACATGAAATCTGAATTTAATTTGCAAAGTTTTTGTGCGACAGTAAAAATTTTGAAGTGGAAGCACTGGCCCCTACCCACAATCCCCATTATTTGAAAACAATCTACTTACAATCACATTTCATGGCTACCGTCATGTCTACATTAACTTGTAATTTCCTGTAATTAAAAAAAAAAAAATGTGATCCAATATAATATGGACGTAATGAAATCAGCTGATAAAAAGTATAAATCATATGATTGAAAATTATGTGTAATTATGCAAAACACAAATTCTCATTGAACAATACACATTCTTCTCAACTTAATGATGTAACAATAATTCAAAAATATCGCAAGAACCGTAGTTTAAACTGTTAGAATTGCTCAATTTTAATGTGCATTTTGAACAATTAGTATGGTTAAAGGCTGATTAATGATGACAACTCATTCTGGCCTGTATACACTTTAATTCCAGTGTACCATGAGGGACATTTAACCCGGACAGTTGCACTGCATGTACATACGTATTTTGATTTACAACTACCAGGAATCTTTAATATGCTGCTAATGGTATATAACACAAAACCTTGGTTTTTTGTACCATTCGAATGACTAGGTGTTTTACCATGCCAAGTCTTCTATCATACAACCCTTGACAAGTGGAAAGCAGGTGGAAATCTCAAGAAACCTTTTCAACCAACACTGGGATCCAACTTGGGTACCTCGGACCAGGGAGTAATATAGGGAGAAAGAGAGAGAAATGGGGTTTACGTCCACTCAAGACAAACTAGGCCATTTCTGGACACGGTTCAATTTTATTTCAATAATTTGCTTGCATGCCGGGGTATTTCACAGTAGGAGGAAACCAGAGAACCTGAAGAAACCCACGAGGTTGGACAGGCGACCCTACTCCTTGTCACATATAACCGGGGAATTAAACCCACGCCAGCTGACTCAATGACAGACCTTATGATACCCTTCGGCCACCCCCCAGCCCCCGAAGTAAAATAGGCCTACCACTTCCAGAGTTATGCTACTTCCAGTTCATGACTATACCTGTGCTACGCCAGGTCAATCGATAGTATTTAATAAGCATAACAACATTTATTCCTGCAGTAGGAAAGCATGTAACAATTTAACATACCCCGAATACTGTGTATCAACTTGATAATCAAACTTGAGCTCTGTAGAACTGTAATACTGATACTCTGATATCACCAATAAACCAATTATAACAAATGTTAAAATAGATACTGGAAAACAAAAACAGTAGATAGACACAAATGTCACATATAATATAACAACTCTCATATAATCTAACAACTCTCTAAATACTGGTACCTTAACTGCAGTTTACAAATTAAAATTGAAAAGAGACGACTGGTATCTTGAACGAAAAAGTTATACAAAAAAGACTGCAGAAAAAGGAAAATTCAAAGCAAAACGAAAAAAAAATCAGATATATTAATCATTATCATATAACACTTCTATAAATAGTGTCTTCACTGTTGGCGTTGTGCTTCAGAGCATTTTATATACAAGATGAATGATAAAATCAATTAAACATATAATTTTTAAAGATGAATTATAAATACAAATTATATAAAATACATACCGTATAATATTAATATGTACATTGTACACAACATGAATATCGATAGAAATTTAGAAAGCCTATGAAAATAAATGGGCTAAGCTAATACTTTTTTATTTTTCTTCAAGAAAAAAGCTATAATTGGTTATTGTGCAAATTAAAAGAAAGGTTAATCCATGGTTTTGGAGCTTGTGCACTAAACATTTCAATTTAACTTACACCCTCCACCCGAGACTGTCGTTTTCTTATAATCGTCTGGTACTTTAGGAAAGGCATCAAACTCTTTTACCACCTTTAAGGCCTTGTTACTATTTGCAACATTTAATCGTCTCATTTTCTAAAAAAAATATTACAAATGGAATATCATTAATATAGAGCGAAGCTCTAAAGCACCGCGCGAAGCGCGGTGCTTGAGCAAAGCTCTTTTCCGGTAACACAGGAGCGTAATTGAAAAAGTCACCCACAGACTGTTGATTAAAAAAAAATTCAGACAGGAACCGGATACACTGGGCAAAACAGGCAATGCGCATGTCAACTTACCAAATCTCGCCCAAGCGAGATTAAGTAACTAACAAAAATAATTCTACACACCAAATCTCGCCCAAGCGAGATTACGCGCCTCATAGAACTATTTCTATGACGCGTCTAATCAATGACGTCATATATTTTTTACGTCAATGAAAATAATTCTCACACCTCTTTGTTCTTTTTTTAAAAACAAAATTAATGTATAAAATTTAGATCTAAATAAAAATCACTTTTGAAAAACAAAATTATTTAACATTTTTTGTATCACTTGAGAAAATTAATTATGAAGGTTTTATATTTGACAATAATCAGCTTCGCTCTACTCAGGCAATGCCTGTTACATATTATAAAATGTAATTAGATATCTATAACTATGTCTATTAGGGCTAGATTAAAAATCACCTGTTTATTCCCACAGATTAATCCAATCCTACTAACAAAGAACAGGACAGATTAAGTTTTGCAAAGTGTCATCAAGACAAGAGCTTTGTCCTGTACAGTATTTTGGTAGGAAGATTTAAATGGCAAAATATGGTTATGTCGCAGCCAGGATAGAGTCGACTGTTGTTTTGTTAACTTTCGACTCAGAAAAAAAAACTGACAATAAAAAGCACAGATGGCCTAATGCAATGGCTTATGTCTCATTTTGTCCCCTAGGCGTCAACCATCAAATTAGCAAAAAAAGCGATGGGAAAAGAGTGATGCACACCTGTCAATTTCCTCGAAATAAACCTATGTACAGTGTACATGTAACTCGACTGTAATGAAAAGTCACCACATCACTGAAGTCACTGAAGATGAAAACAAATCAACCGGTAGATCTACCGGAAACAGGCTGTCAAGTAAAGTTACCATGTTTGATTTCGAATCTACATTTTAGAAATACATATTTTCTCGAAATTATTCTTTTGATTACGTTTCCTGTATGATATAGACGAAAACAATAGTTTTCTTTCATTTCCGAGAAAAATAAAGATACCATTGCTAGCATAATTTTATCAATAAGGTTTCGTAATTCGATTAATCCAAATTTTGATTGCAAATATAAAACGGAATATCATTAATAATTTATATTGTGTATTTGTACAGATATGACCAAATGTATTGAAAATATCAAAATGTGATGCTATCATATGTTTTCGTTATATGTACTTGTTATGATAATAATAATTTACATTTTTGCTTTATCTTTCGTTTCGTGAAGAAATGAATTTGAAACTACACATGGCCAATTGACATGAAAGAATGAAATGTCAACAGAGTTTACCGATAATTGTTTTGCCTGTCGGCTTGGATCAGAGATTATAGAACTACCCTAGATATGTCAGGAGCCAATTGATTATAACAGGTTTAGATTCCAGAGGTTGGTATGTCACTATATTTAAGATTTTACATCGTGACTGTCAATGCAATTGCCGTACTGCCAATGGCAATGGACAGGTTGGACATTTTGATTTTGCTTGAGTAAAAAAAAAAAAAAAATGTCAACAAAACGAATGAATTGTATTCTGAATGTTATGATGGTAACTAGATCTAAATATGATAGTTAAATGATATTTACTGCTTGAACTGGCCTGAATTTTAAACGGATAATTATATATATAATTATAGTTATTATAAACTTACCTGTGTGTTTGAAATTACCTTGTACAATTAGATATTCCAACCAATAAAAAGGTTATCTCTTGAAATGTCTATATTTTTGCTTGTATTTTCGACAGTTCATCAGAACATTGCACATGTCATGTGATGAGCGAAACCATCGTAAGATGTTGAAGGGGGATAAAGGTTGACAGTCAAAAAAAAATGCGATCCTTTTGATCGTTGGCGTTTGGGCAACAAAAAATATCAACTTTGATTTTGAATTTTGAAGCAATTCATTGCCAGACTACTAAATTTTTTTAATCATAACCAATTAAAAACGGATACTCATAAAAATGGAGTCGTACTCATGGCAAAAGTCAAGTATGGAAAGTTAACTTAGCGAGTGATTAATAGTTAATAATTGAGAGTGCAATTGTAAGGATATATTGCCCTGTGGATTTCAAAACAAAACCAGGATTTTTGTACTTGTTATGGAGAGAGAGAGAGAGAAATGGGGTTTAACGTCCACTCGACACAAACTAGGTCATTTCGGGACTAACACATGGTTTAATTTTATTTCAATCATTCGCTTGCGCGTAGGGGTCTTTAGCAGTGGGAGGAAACCGGAGGACCCGGAGAAAACCCACAAGGTTGGACCAGGCGACCCTACTCCTTGTCATGTACAACCGGGGATTCGAAACCCCGCCAGTTGACTCAATGACAGACCGTATGATACAGCGCGTGTGTGCTAACCATTCGGCCATCCCCCCCCCCCCCCTCCGTACTTGTTATGGAGACACCGATTATAAAATTCTAAACAGTTCTTGCACAATGGAAATATACCAAGAGAATAGAAATTAAACCATCAGTCGATAATAAACCGATGGGTGGTGGAGGTATCTGATTGGTTGATATATTTTGGTATTTATCAATGAATGAATTTCTAAAAACAAAATAGACTCTAAAGAATGGTATATATGTATCCAGTGGTCACAGCTTTTTTTGCAGAGGAAAATGTAAAATACATCGGCATTTACCTTGGCTATAGAAGAATGGCGAGGTTAATTAACAGGATGATCTTGAGGTTACAGGTATAGAGAGTATTTGGGTGGAATGCAAATTTCCAAACACCGTATTACTTGTTGCCTTATTTTACCGCCCGCCAAACAGCACAATTGAATTCTGGTCATTGTTCGAAAGATCCATTGAACTAGCCTATCAAACCACGCTTAAGGTTGTAATTTTAGGTGATCTAAATGATGACTTGCTAGCACAACGCTGCAAGCTACGGGATATTTTATCTTTAAATAATCTCAGAAATGTTATTGATGAACCTACACGCGTTACTGGGACGTCATCAACCTTATTAGACGTAATTTTAGTAAATGATGAAATTCAGATTAGTTCCAGTGAAACGATTAATGTCACTCCTGACATATCCGATCATAAGGGTGTTTATGCATTATTAGATTTTCCAGTTTCAAGTCCCAGGAATTTTAAACGGGAGATATTTGTATATAAGGATGGTAATTATAATAGGTTAAATACTCTTATCAAAGAACACGATTGGGAGAGTACCTTTGCAAATTCTGATATTAACTTAGTATGTTCAAAATTTTATGAAATTTTAAATAGCTATATTACATTGTGCATACCAAAGAAATCAATAACTATAAGACTAACTGACAAACCGTGGTTCAATACAGAAATACGTAGAGCGATAAGAATCAGAAACAGGTTACACAAAAAAGCTTTGAAAACACAACATGAATGCGATTTAAGAAAATACAAAGTTCAAAGAAATAAAGTAAATAATTTTAAAAAAGCGTTAAAAACAAAATACAAAGAAGAAATCACAAATTTCTTGAATTCTAACGATACAAATAGCCAGAATTACTGGAATAATTTAAGGAAAGTATTAGGCCAAAATGTATCAAATGATATTCCTCCACTTTTAGACCCCAATGGAAGAATTGCTCATTCAAATTTTGATAAAGCTGAATTACTTAACAACTATTTCGGATCAATTTCAAATAACACTCAGCAAGGAGAATTACCAAAATTCAATAAGCGAACAAATTGTCAACTTGATATTCCTTTAGTCGAAGAAAAGGAAATCGCAGATCTTATAAGTACACTGAAATTGAAAAAAGCCAATGGATTTGATAATATTAGTAACAAGTTACTAAAATATACCAAAACCTCAATATGTGTACCATTAAAATATATATTTAACAAATCACTAGAATCAGGCGTTTTTCCAACAATTTGGAAAAAAGCAAATGTCCTACCTTTCTATAAAAAAGGAGACAGCTCTCTAGTTTCAAACTACCGACCTATAAGCCTATTAAGTTCTTTGAGCAAATTATTAGAAAAGGTAGTTTTCAAACACCTGTTTAACTATTTTCATGAAAACAATCTCTTGTACAAATACCAATCAGGGTTTCGACCGAACTACTCTACTGTTCATCAACTTTTAGAAGTGTATCATGATATCTCATCTGCAATAGATAAGCAACTATATTCCTGCTATGTTTTTTGCGATATATCTAAAGCGTTTGACCGCGTATATTTACCTGGTTTGATACACAAATTAAGTCAATATGGGGTTTCAGGCATGCTAATTACGTGGTTGTCTAGTTATGTCCAAGACCGGACTCAACGGGTATTCGTAAATGGCTCTGTGTCATCAGAAATTACTCTTCAATCAGGAGTTCCCCAGGGATCAGTTTTGGGCCCCTTTTTGTTTTTGACTTACATCAATGATGTACAAGATGTACTCCATAATGTGGCTAGATTATTTGCAGACGACACGGCACTTGGGTGTAGCAAACAGTCAGTTTCAGAGATAGAACAGTCCCTAAACTACGATCTGACAAATCTCAACATTTGGGCGAATAATTGGCTTATAAACTTTAATCCAAACAAAACAAAAGCTATTTTATTTAGCTCCAAAAAAACAGAAAATTATCCGAGTCTGATATTCGATAATCAAGCACTTGAAGTGGTTAAATGTCACAAACACTTGGGCATTACTCTTTCAAATGACGCCAAATGGACCATCCATATAGAAACTATTATCTCGTCCACCTCAAAATTATTAAATATTTTGCGTAAACTAAAATTCACCTTTAATAGACAAACTCTAAATAACGTATATTTGATATTCATAAGGCCAAAATTGGAATACGCATGTGAAGTGTGGGATGGGTGTAACGTTTCCAATACCGAAAAACTTGAAAAGGTACAGCTAGAAGCTGCCAGGATTGTGACTGGACTAACTAAAACTTGTTCTCGTGAAGCGCTTTATTTTGAAACCGGATGGAATAAATTGTCAGACAGACGTACACAAAAGCGACTAACCACATTTTTTCAAATTAAAAATCAGAGAAACCCAGCATACTTATATGACATTCTAGAATATTATCAACAAACACCACAAAAATACAATTTAAGAAACATTAGCGAATATAGATATCCTTATTGTAGAACAGCATTACACCAAACTTCGTACTTCCCCACAACAATTCGAGATTGGGAATTATTAGAGGACCCCATAAAGCAATCAACCACTCTTAAATCCTTCAAATATCTATACAAACAAAAATTACGTTCCTTAATACATAAAGCGCCAATCTACTACTGTAAAGGTAATAGACATGAAAATATTATTCACACTAGAATACGGCATGGGTGTAGTTCGTTGCAAAATGATTTGTATGAAATAAACGTTGTGAATGATCCCACATGTTCTTGTGGCAAATTTATAGAAAATGCCGAACACTATTTCCTGCAATGTCACTTATATGATGTAATTCGTGCTGAACTATTAAATACATTGTCAAGTTATTCTGTGATAAATATAGATATCCTATTGTGCGGCAATTCAGAATTGTCAATTGAGATGAATACAAACCTTTTCCTTGAAGTTCACAAATATATCAAACTTTCAAAACGATTTAAATTTAAATAAAAGTTATTGTTAGTAGTTACATCTTAGAATAAATTATTAGCTTTAGCTTTTTTGGTGGATAACTTTTTTTTTTTTTTTTTTTTTTTTTTTTTTTTCCCCGCACCCCCCACCCCCCATTTTTTTTATTTTTTTTTTTTATTATTTCTTTTTATCATTTTATACATGCATCAGTTCATTTATATCCCATTTATTAAACTTTATTTTTCAATGTTTTAAATATAATTTTACATTCTCTTTATCACCTCTTCACTTATTTTATATAGAGCTTTGAGATATAATTCATCTGACTTTACTTATATTACTTATAAATTATTTATTATTGTATATACTATTTCGAAATCTTGTTAGTATTAAATAATGTCTATCATTTCTATGTATGGAAAGGGCTTTTCTAAGTTTTTGAAACTTGTGCTCAATCCTTTTGATATTTGTCAATAAAATATGTTTAAACTAATTAACAGGACTGCTTTACATGTAGTTCATCAAGAAATTAATATTACAGATATTTTTGTTCTGCAACTGTGTTCAAAAGAAAATCATCCCACCCAACTCTCTAATCAAATAATGAAAAAAAGACGGAAACAAAATAAAGTACTACGGGCATATATTTATTTGTGTAAATGACCAAACTCATTACTGGGGCCGAAAATAATAGCTTATTCCTACACAAAATTTCAATTGTCTTAAAAGAGTCACACACCCTTTCGATAGACACATCTTGCTGCCACCCCCTTGTATGAAATGATCTACCGTAACCCGATAAGTCACATATTTAGCTTCCATTTTGGTATTTGTCGATGTCAAAG